CCCTGGGGAACACTGCTTGTGACCTGTTGTCCTTGGCACAGGGCTGAAATGGACAGAGGGAAAGTACTTAAATTGGCAGGTTTTGTTAACAATGTTTCATGTAATCCATTCTAAAATTGGGGCTTTGATCTTTTTCTTTGCAGTTTCCATGATGATGTCCCAAAGGATTATAGGCAGGTGTCCTTAACTGCAGTGAAACAACGATTTGAAGATGAGCGTTACGAAGAAATAGGCAAAGAAAAGGTGGGTTAGCTCTTTGTTTTCATTTGCTGATGTCTGACACAAAGACCAAAGCTACTATATGGCAAGATGTAGTAAACTTCAAATAATGGGAAGTGGGTTCTAACTTCAGACTTTTGAATGAGAGAGTATTTAAATAAAGTGGTAGTTTTAAACTTAATCTGTGAGGACTATAACTGCTCTGTTTGAGTACATGTGGGAAGAACTCACTGGGATAATTTCTCCTAGAAAATAAATAGAAATAGCCTCCTTCTGGCTATTTATTCCTTCCAGGAATTTCATGGTCTAATTCTTACTGGCTCTCTGATTTTTTTTTTTTTTTTTTTTTTTTTTTAAGATGATGAGTTACAGCCAGCTCTGTTCATTGCTGGGTGTGAAACAGGAGGACCCAGAGCCCAGTCCCTTGCACACGAATGTGGTGGAAATTCAGACTTTCCTTAGCTCTCCCTCTGGAAAGAGAACTAAAAGGCTAGTATAACTCAGCACTGTAAATGTCTCTGAAGATTAGCATGAGCCTTTCCTACTCTCTAGTATCCTGAGGTTTCATTCTTAAATATGATCAATTTTTCTGTAACTACCTTGACATCCCTATTAAAAGAGCTGGAAAAGATGACTTGGCTTTTAACATGTGACTTCTGGATTTTCTTGCTACAGGAGGAGGGAAGACAGCATTCAGGATGACAGAGGCAGCTTTGTGACTACACCCACGGCAGAGCTATCCACCCAGGAAGAAAGTCTTCTAGATAACTTCCTAGACTGGAGCTTAGATTCCTGCTCTGGTTATGAAGGTGATCAGGAAAGTGAAGGCGAGAGAGAAGGAGATGGTGAGGGTGTTCTCCTTATAAAAAACAGATGAGAGAACTGTCTTTTCATCTTTGCTTAAAACTGTTTCTCAGGCAACAGAAGCCTGAACTTCCAGCTGAAGACCAGCTGGAAAAACTCTCCCCCTTCCCCAGTGGTTATAATTGTTAAACTATTGTAGAGGTATATTCTGTTCTCTTTCTCTATACTGTTTCAGAACATGATGAAGGGTTTTGTAGCTGCTTAGCATTTCAGAGTGAGACTGTTTCAGATACTGCTGACAGTGGACCAAACAGGATGAACGGCCCACTGTTAGAAACACTATATTCTCTGTTTATTTTGCTGGCACTAGGACTGGTTGTTCATTTTCTGAACAGCTCTTAGTACCTATCCAAACAGTCTGAAGAGGGAAAAGTTTCGGTTTTAAGAGGGTGAACTTAGTGCTCTACCCTCCCCTCCATGTGTAAGTAGACATAAGCTTTATGCTCTTGCTTTTTTCCTGCTTGATTCTGTGCTGAATGCCTGCTTGGTGTTGCCCAAATCAAAACTAACCTTTTGTCTTTTATCATTCCACAGTGACAGGTCCCAGTGGGATCTTGGATGTGACAGTGGTCTATATGGATCCTGCGGAGCACTGCTGTCAGGACTCCAGTGATGAAGACAACCTAGCTGTAGAATGGGCTGGGCATGCGGCACCACTGAGGGAGGCTAAGCTGCTGGATGACACTCACAGCCTTTCAGCATATCTCACCCCAAGAAATCCTAACCTGGAAGGGAGCTCAGGCTACTCTTCTGTCAACAGTGCCAGTCCTACATCTTCTGTAGAAGGCAGCCTTGGAGTACCTTTCAAACCTACCTCAGCACTGTCTCCTGGCAATGCCATGAACAAGGAGCCATGCCTGCCTCATTACTTGGAATCATGTTTACAGTCAGTCTGTGCTAGGCCTAGTGATGGCAAGTGTGACAGAAGGCAAGTCAAGCGAAAAAATGTGGCAGAACACAGCGAAGAAAGGGTGAACTTGGGCTTTTTAAGCCTCTGATTTCTTCATGCTCTTTACTTTTCTAGGGTTCCCAGAAACAGTATTTCTGTTGTAGTCATACAGGGATGATAGTGAATAATTGTCAATACCTCCAAAAAAGAGCCCTTCCCCTCAACTTGGCCTATGCCTATCTTGTAATTCTGTAGCTCACTTCTGGGTCATTTCTTTCCTTGATAGCTGCCTTTTTAAAGTATTCCCTATTGATGATCCTCTGAAAATTAAGATTCTTCTCCATGTATGAAACTTCATAGCTCATTTTTGTCATACCTCACCAGTTACTCCTTGGTGATAGAAAAGAACTTGTCATGTCCCTTGCTTTGCTGTGAGGCCTGGCACTATAAAAGAAAGGAATTTACTTTAGTTCTCAAGTTACTGGGTGTAACACTATGCTTGAATTCTTCCACGTGAAAGACCTTTTTGAGGTTGTGCTGCCTTTTCCTTCTGGCCACGTACTGTCTCACTCAGCTGGTGCTTCCTTTTTCTATGTATGTACTATTTGCTGCACTGATACAAGGTTTTTATGGATACAATCAAGAGGTAAATGAGGGCTCACTGCAGGTCTGAGCTGCTTTTTTACCTACCTCTCAGATGGTTTTAAATCCCATTTGCCTCAGGCCATGTTTTCCTCACCTGAAAAATCCTCCTTCTGTGCCTTAATGCTTTACTGCCCAGTACTTACAGTAATGTGATCTCTGTGCACTGTTAGTCTCTGCTGGAACAGTGTGGCTGAACTGCCACCTCCAGCCAGTCGCTCAATTTCACTTCCTGCCTTGCACAGTCTTCCTTGCTATTTCCATTAACGTGTCCTCAAGTAAAGCACAAATCACTTGAACACTAGAAACAGGCAGTAATGCAGTAAGGGCCAACCGTTTGTCATACTGAAAGCCCTAATTTAAGCCTTGCTATTGGCTCCTAATCTGCAAGGGCAGCATATGCTTTTCTTACCAAAAATGAAATCTGTGCTGCTTAAGTAACAATTTGAAGAAACCACCTATGCTGACCTCAGCCTAGCAAGCCTGGGTTAAAGCTCCTTCAGCCTGTGAACCTTAGGAGAACAGCCTTCTCTCTACAAACAGGTAGTAAGCATTGAAATACCAAGGTACAAGACTTCCAGGAGATGTTGCTGAATTTAACACTGGAACTGGACTCCATGATGACTCCTTTGTTTAGAAGTTACTGTGGCAGATGGCAACAGTTCAGATATACACACACAGTGTAGTGACTTTTTTATAAAACTTTTTTTAATATAGATGGCTCCCTGTCTTACTTCAATGCCTGGTATCCCACTTACTTACTTACTTCAATGACCTGGGGCTTGGAGAACTGATGGGATGTTTGGGGATGAAGTCAGAGTTTAGCTCTGAGCCAAGTTCCTAGGATTAAGTGGCAGATGGGACTGCCTGTAGGCTACTTACATTAACATGAGCGGCTGGGAGAACACCCTGCACAACAAGTAGCATGGGGCTCAAACCACTCTCACAACTCTACAGCAGCCCCAGAAAGAGAGCCTACAGAAAGGCCTTGAACATGCCAAATAAACAACTAACAGCAGCCTGGGTGCTTGTCCACAAAATTTATTACAAAACTGTACTGTCACTGCAGTTAGGAAAAAAAAAAAAAAAGTCCCTGATTTAGCTTTTCTTTGCCAGGTTTCACCCTTCTCCTGGTGGCTACATTGCAGTTCTCCAGCTACTGCTTACAATGACTTGCCATGCAGGAGTGTCTTCACGTTAACGTGTTACAGTAGCAGCTCAAAATTCAGCATTAGGTCACATTAAAATTGGAAGAAAACACTTATAAAAACCTCTCTCAGTTCTAAAACAGGTAAGTAAAAGTTAAATATCTGCAGGAAAGGCCGCACACTGCAGAAAATTTTGAACTCTTTTCCTGTGCAAGTTTTCTTGATCTGAAAGAAAAGGCACAAAATAGGAACATTAATTGGTTCAGCTCCTTCCCAGGAAGAGTAAAGTGATGAGGAGCTAGCTCCATGTTCATGGGGCTTGCTCCTTAATCCAGTGGCCTTGGCTGATGCAGCCCTGGACTAAAACCAGATCTGTCTCTGTATCAAGCCTCAATCCTGGAGGTGCCTCATAGATAAAACAGAGCACCTGGGCCTAGAGATCCACCACTTACTGCCACAGGCCCAAGGCAACAGAACCAGAACAAGCTACTTTCTGAAAAGGAAAAGCAAAGGATAGAGCCCAGAGCCTCAGTTCTTTTAAAAAAAAATGAAAAAAGGACCAGATTGCATCAGACTGTGTTTTGTTAGCACCTCCACACCCCTGCAAACTGTTCAGCCTTTGCTTTACTAACCCTTGTATTCCTCCAAGGCCAAGTATTTCCAGAAAAAATTGAGGGAAGCACTGGAACAGGTTGCCCAGAGAGGTAGTGGAGGCCCCATCCCTAGAAACATTCAAGGTCAGGTTGGATGGGGCTCTGAGCAACCTGATCTGGTTAAAGGTGTCCCTGCTCACTGCAGGGGGGTTGGGCTAGATGATCTCTAGAGGTCCCTTCCAACCCAAAGCATTCTAGGATTCATTCCGTATGCTGTAACACAGGCTAAGCCTGGCTTTGTGTAGCACTAGACTGATCTTTTAATAAGGAATGCTGAAGGGCCAGTATTCCCTCCACATGTCAGGAGGAGCCCCTAGGGTCTCACCAGGAAAGACTTCACAGACCACCCTGCTCTGTCCTCACCTCCTGACTGCTGCCTGCAGCACCCCACGAGCAGGTCAGCAGCACTGTGCTGCTCCTGTGCTCCCAGCAGTACAGGGGGATGAGCGCTTTGTGCTGCTGTAGTCTAAACTTACTGGCACTTACTTAGGGCACCATTTTGATATCCAGGGAGTCATAAGCTGAAGCTTTCATCTTTTCCAATGGCTTCTTGAAAAGCTGCCGCAGGGCCTCATAGTCAGGCTTCTCCTCATACTCAAGTGCCATTACTTGCTGCAGGTAGCTCTGTAGGGCAACTGCAAAGCAAGGAACATCACTGCATGGAGCAGCACAGCAACCCCAGTTGTCCTTACAAAGCTGCCAAATGGCCTTCCCAGACTGCTCTCCCTGTAAGGGAGGTCACCCACCTGCCTTGGCTAGCTGCAGAGAGAAGAAAACAAAACCAAAGACTAACATGAAGCTCAAAGACAGGACGGAGAAATGACCTCTAGCCTCAAATATTGCTTTTTTAAAGCCACCAGAACACTTGCCTCTTCGGCAAGGCTCATGAATACAGAAAATGGGTAGCAGCCCTCCTTGTTTTGCTGTAAAGAAAACAAGGGATGTGTTCACAGGAGGAGCCTGTCAACCAGTCCATGCAATGCCTGGTCACTGTCATCAGTGGAAGCCATTCTGGACTAGCACCCCAGCACAGAAAAGGTTCTAGCTTCAGGTACAGTCAATCCTCCTTCCCCAAGTCCCACTGTCACAGAGCAAGCCCGTACCTGGAATGGATCTCTGCCTGAAGCACAGTTGGAGAAGGCATTTCACATCCCCTTTGTACCTGGAATAATCAGTGCAGAGTGATGTCAGATGAGAAGCAATGGAGCAGGCACCCAAACAGCCCGTCTTTGGCAACAGGGACAAAAAAAAAAAAAAAAAAAAAGGTTGAATTCAGATGGCCACTTTCTGAATGGAGCGGAAATCAGGGTTCATCAAACACCCTTTGGCCAGGCTCAGCCTTTACAGTGGGATTTACCCATATCCCAATAGTGTACTACGACCAAGCAATTTCTCTTCAGTCACAAAGCCTCCCTCAATGTTTTCTGCTGAGCATTTCCCGAAAGAGTAATGATTTCTCCTACTTTTCCTTCTTTTCCACCACAGTTTCTATTTTGTCCAGCTCATCAGACCAGGGCAAGAAGCCACACAGCCATTTCAGAAGACAGTAGCCCAGAGATTCCAAGTCACTCCGGCGAGATGGTCCTGATGGGAAGGAAGAGATATTCACATGTGAAAAACCAAGAGTTTGTGAGCCATCTCAGAAGCAGCCCAGGCTCGCACCCCTCCTCCAAAGGCAAGTAAGGACTCCAGCACTCACTGCACAACCTTGGAGGTCTCTATTTGAGGTGCCCCTTCCGTAAAACAGGCAGCCTCATGAAGGGGCACAAGTCTAACAAGCAGAAGTAAAGAAATGCAAGAGCTTCACTAAGATGTGCTGTAGGATATCAATACTTCTGGGAGCCTGCTAACTCACAGTTGAGGAACCACCTCCCAGACTCTGGAGGAAGATTTGCTCAGTCTGAACAATGGGAGACAACAGTCACATCCCAAACAGGAGAGGAACAGACTAATTTAAATGTGTTTCCAGCCCTCATTGCTTTAAGGTCAGAGTAGAGCCTGCTGCAAAGCTGTTTTGGGCAGGGATCCAGTTTGGCTTGAAACAGATCCCTTCTAAGCCAGCACAAAGCACCCCTGTTTTCTATTCCTCACACGCCTGCAGTAGCCAAGGCTCCAGATGGAGCAGGAGCATCCCTGCACCTCTTGCTGCAGTCAGAGTGACCTGGCAAGTCCCAACACAGCAGCCCAGGGAGAGGCAAGAGGAAACAGCCCAAATAGGACCTTGGTTCCAGATACACATGAATGCCTGGAATGCAGCAGTAACAGAAATGCCAGCAGGGAGCCCCAGCTCCAGAGAGCACTGCACAGTAACAGCTCTAGCTGAGCTTTGCTGGCTCGTGTCAGAAACCAAGACTCACCTGCTCCCTTGTGGCTGTCCACACTGATAAACTCTATCGTGCCTTCATGAGGGGTCCTGCTGCCTTCACGCTGAGCCACGTGCTTCCCTCCGGGGCAGTAACGGAATGCAAAGCAATAGCCTGCTAGGGTCATCTAGAAGACATTAAGAAGTACACATCTGAGTGTGTGTGTGGTGTGGATTCTGCTACGGAGTAGCCGGCAATCCTGCACCACAGCACCTGCTTGAACACTGCACAGACTGCACTGCTCCCCTGCCCAGCAGCAGGAACCTGGGTGTTGCTCTAGCCCATTTCACAAGCCCACCTTCA